CTCCTATAAACTGCCCGTCCAAGTCGATGATCTTCGCAGCTTGGATGAACGATTTTCGCCACGAATCAAATCCGTGGCTACGGTTTTTATCGTCTAGAAGCGGGGCATTGACCGTCAACTTGTTTCTGGTGGATACTGCTGTTGCCGTCGAGGTATTCTCCATTTCCTCGAATCACGGGTATCTCACCTGGGNCGCGGGGATATTGCTCTCTGCATCTCCTGTAAACTGCCCGTCCAAGTCGATGGTCTTCGCAGCTTGGATGAATGATTTTCGCCACGAGTCAAATCCGTGGCTACGGCTTTTTCCGTCTAGGAGCGGAGCATTGACCGTTACCCTCTTCATGTGGCTACTGCTGTAGCCGTCGAGGTATTCTCCATTTCCTCGAATCACGGGTATCTCACCTGGGGGGTTTAACCCCCTCGCTTCCCCGTAGTCCGGTCCTATGCCCGGGCCCACTCCGGCTGGTCCAACAGGGTTCGCTCCCGATCTGCTGGCCCAGCCGCCTTCCAGCAGCTGCCGTTGTCCTTGCCCACCACCTCTCGCTTGCTGATGGAGAAACCCCCCGCTACCGCCGAGCGGCTGCATGGGCTCTTCTTGTTGGCCTCCGGGGGCGGCAACCCAGCCGCCCCTACTGGCTACATCCGCCACGACGCTGCCAGGCTCCTTCTTCTTCACCGACTCCTCCACCAGAGCCGCCAATTGCGAAATCTGCAGTTGCAAACTTGCAAGCTCCGCATCACGGCCCTCCTGCAGCGGCGGGCGGATCTGTTCTCCGCTCGCAGCAGTACGCTTTTCGTCTCCAGCAGAGCTCATCCCAATGTGGCTTCCCTCGAGGGGCAAAAAACTCTGGAGTGCGGCGTACGTCACATATTTATCGCGTGAAACTGTTTCGGTGATATATTAACTTCACGAGAGGTAGACGACCGTCCTTCACGCGGACGAAGGAGGGAGTGCTCAACGAGCGGCTCCCACAGCCAGGAGGGGCTCCGTGAATCATCGAGGTGCCCCCTACCAAACGGCAATCTTACCAACCTGCGTGACACCAAATCATCCAACACATGCATCCAACACCAATGTTCGGGACCCACGAACAGGAAGGACGTAGTTGTGAGCGTGTGTCGGTGTTTCCTGCGGCGAATGTTTCCCGTCAAGATTTGTCCCTGCTGTGTGTGCCTCTCTTCTTTATTCGAAGACCGTCCGACGTCATGTAGGTGCGGCAAAAAAAGTCACGGGAAGAGGAGAGGGGGTGGTGGGTTCAACACCACCCAGCCTAGAGTGGATCGGGGCAGCCGGTAGGAAATGCGTTCCTCCCCGGCAAGAAAGTGTGGTCGGCGATTTCCCGTGGAAGTTTGGCGTCATCAATCAGACCAATCAGTCACCCACGGAAAATTTGAATTTTTCGAGTTTCTTTGAGAAGTGACCTCATGACCGTGGCTGACGTCATCGGTCGACCATGGTTTTTCGACCACAGGAGATTTCCTCGCAAAATATTCGGCCAATCAGAAAACTGCGGGCACCTTTTCTCTTTCTGAAACATGAAAAGTATTTGGTCCTCCCTGACTTGCGTTTTTATGAGGATGGTCTCCCAATGGTCAGTAGTCGTGTCCCTCGTGTGTATGTTCGCCAAAGCTACACCTTCCGGGAGCGGAGCTGGTTTTATTCTGGAGGACACAAGCCCGGGACATCACCAAGCGCTTGTCCCCCCACAGAACGAACGCTGTCCGGAGCCGGGTTCGACCATGTATTGGCAAAGGACACATTGGGGGGTTGTTAGCGGAAGGGGGAATAGACTAGAGGTGAATGTTGAGCGAGGTGAAAACTCTATCAAGATTTGTGCCCTGGAAATTTTGGCTGGCACAAAGTGTTTTCAATCTCCTTATGGGTATCGGTATCTCATTCGGGCGGGGATCCAACCCCCCGCAAGCCACACCCACAACAACACCACCACGACGACACACAAAACACCAGCAGGACACGTATTCACCTACTGCTGCACGTGGTTGGCCATTCCGCTAAAAAGCGGGTGTGCATTGAAGACGTGGCCGCGCTGATGAAACACCCTAAAGCAATATGCCGGGAGCACGAGCAACTTCGGCATAATCCATGATTCGACGGGTAACAGCATGATGTGAATTCATCCGCAATCCATGCGATCTTTCACTCCACGAACGGCCATGGTATCCATCCCACCGCAGGCCTCGACTGTTTCGGCAAAAATATACTTTATCCGAAATACGTAAGACATGCGTAGATTGGCATTAGAACGGGACAAACCCACACGCATACCGCACTAAGACTGACGTCTTTTCATTTGGTCAGCCGGTTAGCGCGGTCGATGCTAATCCGAAAGACACACAATGCCCATATTCGTCGCGCGCTGTCGATAATGATAGAAGCGCTCGCGTGCAACTTTTTCCTTGTGCTCAAAGTCTTGGGAGTTACCACAATACGGGGTGCGTGAGGGTCGTCACAAAATGTCAGGTTGCTAGGCGAGCTGTCGTCAGGCACAGGGGTAGCGGTTCTGCTCAGCATTGCAGCCCAGCTCAAGCCACGGTGATCATACCGGTATCACTCGCACTATCATACAACCCAGATTCAAGTTTCACACTACTACAGGCGGGGGCACTGTAAGAGCGAAAGTGAACGGGCTGAGGCTTGGTTGTCGGAAAATGGATCGTTTGGTGCTGCGCAAAAGAGAGTGAATCCACATACAAAGACGACTGGCAAGGAAAGGCGAAGCGAAACGAAACCAGATTGTTGTGTTACTTCAAGCTTAAGAACGAAATTTTCCTGTCAAGGGCATATTGGTTGGACAACTGAGGTCCACACCACCGTGGTTACGAATACCCCTCAATGCCCAACTGTTGGCAGAGGGAAAAAATGCGGCTACTCAATAGGAACGGCACAAAACGGAGGGGGGCAAGATATGACGAAGGGAATACACCTTTTCGCAAACTAAGCACAGCAGTGGTCAGCCTACACCAGAACAAGGGCAGTTCGTACCCCTCAAGCAGGCAACGCGCCATGACATGCCCTTCCCACGAAAAAACGGAAGAAACAGAGAATGAAATCAAAAGAACAAGAGACGCACGGTCCTTCCCTAAACAAACAAGAATACTTTGCCATCATCTCTAGAAAATGATGCCCTGTCCTAGCACCGACGCCGACGCCTTGTCCACCGCGTAGGCAACCCCAACAGCCCCCAGCCCCGCCACGGAAGCCATCAACGCCAATCTTGGTCCCGCTGCACAAGCCATGAAGAAAGACACGAGAGAGGCAGGCGAAATGTTGGGTATTGGGGCGACAAGCGACTCAAGAACATGACGGCGCTGCAGATACCAACGCGCAATGGGAACAGTAGCCCGCAGTGTGCCAGTTGCGAGGATGGACCTAAAGCCGGCGGATTGTCTCTGTGCGGAACCCCCCCTGCAACCATCCTCACTTAGGAAGGGCGCAAGTATCGCTAACGCACCTTTCCAACATGTTTTTTTTTTTTTTCGCAAATAACAGCACAAGGACATCAAGAACTCCAAGTCCATACGCCTGCCACCGCAGCAGAGACTCCTGTCAGCACCACTACCGCTGCTGTAACGCCAGCATCGGGGAGACAAGTTCTATCTCACCGGAGCTCTTGTACAGGAGGCCGGTCGACGCGCCCGCCAGCAACGGGTTGATGATCTCTCCCAGCCCCGCTTGCTGGACTGGTCCCATCTGGTCCACCTCAAAGTGGTCCAACAAGGTCTCCGCGCAGGTGTAGTACGTTGCTGCGGTGGTAGCGTGGCGTTGTTTCGAGCGGCGAACGGGGGGCAGTTGTGAGAGAGAGAGACCCGAGAGTGAAACCACTTGGACGAAAAAAAAAAACACCACGGAATGACGGAAGAGGGCTAGATACTACGTTCCAATTCCTTACGAAGTCTTAAAAGCAACAGGATTAACCAGCCGGATGTGTTTCCGTCCCTTCGCGCCGAAAAAAACTCATGAAACAACAACAAAACAAAAACTACCGTAATACGTCCTCTTCGTGCTGGGTGACATCCGTTCAACCATTCATACTTCTTCTCCAAGCGGGGAAAATATGCATGCATGTGATGTAGGTGACAGGAATCTTGGGAAGCATTCATAAGTTCCATGGGTATACCACATGCGTTGTTGTAGGAAAACCCGGCAGAGAAAAAAGGCGTTCCGGGAGATCACTGGTGGACACACTTATATGGTACGGGTTTAGCACTTGCTGGCATGAGGGGGATGACCACACGAGGCACCGCCCGCCCTGCTCACACTCCCTATTTTTTGGACCCTCTCTGCTCGCCCAAAACGTCACCGGAGAAGACCTACCTGCCTGCTGCCTTTCGGTACAGCGTGCAAAAAAAAACACACTAACCTTGGCAGTGCTTTCTTCTCACTGCCGCTCTTTTTGTTTTGTTGCTATCCCCCACCCCACACACACGCCTCCTTCCACCTTTTTCTCTATCCATTGCCCTTCTCAATGCGGGTCGCCTGCATACGGAACGAAGCTTAACGTCATATGCGATTCGGTGCTCTGCTCTACACTGTATCGTTGGCCGCGTAGGGGAGACAAGAAATTGACCCAATCGGACGAGGTGTTTCGCACTCGCCCTTTCACCATCGGGCAAGCACAACCGGAGGTGTGCGTCACCGTAGCCGATCACCAAACACTGCGATGCGCCAAAAACGTGTGTCCCCGCACGACCGAGGACACCAAACATGCAGACATGTGCATATGCCCTTAACGGTAACCTGCCTGTCGACTCACTCACCGAGGACCGCAAAGGTGTTGCCGTAGAAGGAACCCTTCTTGCCAGCGTGGTTCATGATGCTGTTCAGAAGGACTCGGGATCTCCGGTTGGGCGCCTTCGCTAACCCGTCCCGAACGCCCGCCGCTCCGCCTCCCAAGATCCCTGAAAGCCAGACACACAACGGGGGTAGATCCAACAGAGCACACAAACTAGGGGTCTGTCGGGGGGTACTTGCTAGGCAAGAACACTCAGAAAACAAGCAGGTAAGTAGTTGCTTGCTCCTTCTGTGGTGTTGTCTGGTTTGATCCCGTGGCCTCTACTACGTGCATACTACATGGATGTCTTGCTCTTCTGCACTATTACGTCCACCTGTCCACTAAGCCCGCTGGTCCGTTTACAGGGCCGCAAAGCTTTGATTTCCTTCAACTTGTGCCACCCTGCGACTACTCTCACTCTGCCGACTGGTCAAGTTGGCAACTTCGGTCTCCACGCCTTCGTCCACGTCGTGCACAGTCATCCTCCCCTCCCCTTCATCTATCTAGTTCATCGCTTCGCAAAGCTGCGCGCGCGCCCTTCGTCTGCATCCGTGCACAAGTGTTCCTCCCCTCGTCCTCTACCTCACTCACCGGTCATTTAAAGCGCCGGTTAATGCTACAAACTCTACGCGCCTTTTGTCTGCATCGTGCACAGGTCTTCCTCCCCTCCTCCTCTACCTCACTCACCGGTTAGATAAAGCGCCCCGGCGTTGTAAGGCATCCGTTCCCAGAAGCCTCTCCCCTTGATGTTGTAGTCCAAGTACTCTGGCTCCTTACCCTTCGGGCGTTATTTCCGACCACGTTTTGTGGTTGGTGATTTCGGAGGTGGTCCAGTTTTGCGGTGGGGTGGCACGCGGGAGCAGCGAGGAGGCCAAGGCGAACGAAATTAATCTTGAGGCTTACGTGGGCGCTACATCGTCGAGCCGGCGTGACCGGCTGCAGACGCTACATCGTCCCGTGCGGGCGTGCGCATCGCCTGGCAAGAGGGGGCTTTGGAGCAGGGGAGGAAGCGGCTTTGTCTCTTGACTCTTTTGTTTGCCCAACGATAGCATTGGTACTCTGTGCGAGTGGTGTTGCTTGTGCTCTTGGGGGATGTCTGCAACGCAGTGCATCAAGCTGTACGTGTTGGCAGATGCCGTGCGAGGACATCACACCACCGACACCAGCACGCTGCAGCTGGTCCGTGCCTACCCAAGTGGAGGGGGGCGCATGGGTAGACAAAGCAGAGATGTCCTGCTACGTAGCCCGATCCTTCCTTACAACATAGCCCCAGAAGTTCTCTCCGTTCGATATTTTGTTGACTTTCACTCTGTTCGACGTATGTGCACGATTTACAAACAATAAGCTATGAATTCATCGCTCATCTATCCTTTACTCTTTTGTCTGGGGGAAACTGATATTGTTGACTGTCTATCAAAGAAACTATAAAGAAAAACGCTATGAATTCTTTCAGTTCTCATCTCTTCCCAGGCTCTTCATCTTCATCTGTGGAGGAGGTCATTTTCTTGTGTTGTGGAAAAAAAAAGAATAAACTCACTTGAGCTGCCCCGCCGTACATCTTGCTGAGGTCCACGGTCTGCAGCTCCGGCAGCTTGAGCGGTCCGTACTTGGCGCTGGCATCGCTGTAGGGGTCTTGTACCCCCCCGCTCTCCTTCGCCGGTTCTGCAGGGGTTTCGTTGTTCGCGCGCAAACGAAAGTGGTTGGTAGCTTGGTGAAGAGACGTTCACTTCAACACGTCCCCTTCGATGCTCCGTCCTCTCGAGGACGCGTGGTCAATGGTCGACGTAACCGCCAAGACATGCAAAACGTGAGAGTACGCCCTCCCACACACACACACTTCGACTGCTCGCTAACGGGTAAGTCTCTTGGTGTCTTTGTGTGGATGATTTCAAAGACGAAGGGAAAGAAAGGAAGTTTGTTTTGCTTTGCTGCGGAGGGGGGCAGAGAGACTTGTGCTGTGCCGGAAGACTTTGGAGATGTCTACATAGTTCTATAAGAACGGTTGAGTTGAATCCCCGGCTGTGAGGAAGCGGGGACCTAGCCCGGTCTGGTCTGCGGTTGAGCGGGGAGGTATTGGCATACCATGGTAAACTGTTCCGGAGGGCGTGTCTTGACCCTTGCGACGATACACGGAACAGGGAGAGACAGCTCACTCGAAAATTCGTTGCTCGGCGTTGCATGCTTTGTGCAAGCTATTCCCGACGAGAAACGCCATTTTGTTACAGGGGGACGTTTTGCAGAGTGCATCTACCAGATGACTGCGAGTACATGTGCAACGAGCCGTCTATGGAGGGCAATCGACGAATGCTGTTGGCGAGGGCACACAAACTTAAACTTGACATGACACGTACTTATCAAATCAGTGAGTGAAGGCGGTACTCGCCGTGCAACGCACATAAACAAGCACCCTCGAGACAGCTATTCTGAGCGGGCGTACAGCACCACGAAAGTGTTGGTGCGGAAGTCAGATTGCGGATTGCGATGTAATGCATATGGTGTGCTCCAAAAAAAAGCCCCTCAACTCAGACCCTTACCAAGTGTTTTGTGGTGTCCGTGATGAGCACTAGACATGCCCTTGTTTAGTTTATACTGGCCGAGCTAGATAACCGGGCCTTGGGTGTCTGTCGTACAATATCCACCTTGACGGCTACTTGTACGGTAACGCGGCAGCATACTGAATTGCAGTATCTTCATCACCTATTTTCTAGCTGTTTAACGATACACACGGTATGCCCAATCGAGATCAACATCAGCTGCCCGAGAGCACTGCAGAAGAGATACCGGTGTTATACGAAGAGTTGTGCTCCACGACGCAACAACAGCGGGGTGATACAGAACACTGCGTAATAACTACCGCTAGGGGCACGCACGACGCACGACCGAGTTGGCTGTGATGTCCGTGCCCTTTCGGAGTGAGTTCGGCAGCTCCATGTACATACGCATTAGCAACCAAATCGGCTGAGCATTGCCCAGTGCCCTGCTCAGATTGTGGTGTACGGAGTGCACGCCTTCAACACACGACCAACGCAGCACTTGCATTGTGGCAGCGAACAGCCGCGTAGTCTACTGTTGTAGGGCCCTAGCCCAAGGCTCCCAATCAAGGCGAGGAGGCACGACATAAGACAGCCGATAAGCCGAAACGGAAGCCGGCCAGGTGGAACAAACAAGACGCATGAATAGCAGACCTGATGCCATGGTGGTTCCTTGCAGGGCTCGCGTGATGCTGTGAGACAGCACTGCTGACTGCTGCGTCGCGCACCTGTGCTGCGCTGCTGAAAAAAAAAAGTAGGCAAAAAAGAACGCTTCCAACGGGAAAGCAACCCCTGTGGAAACCCATATGATGAGGCGGCTCACTCGGCAACGGACCTCCGGACCTAGCACCGGTTTGAGAGGGCGAACGAGGGGCTAAACTGTCCAGTTTTCGAGACAGTTATGTAAACAAGATGCCAGGGCGCATTAGGGTATATTCAATAAGTCTAGTTACGCACGGTAGGGCGAAGATTTTGAACTTTAGCTAGAGCGTACCACCATGCAGCAGCTCCAAGATGAGGGAGGGAGCTTCACACACGAACCGACCTCTGCGCGAGGTAGTTGTTTTGCAGCCTAATCATGCTGCCACCATGTACCTAGGTTGTATTGCCACGTAATGCAAAAGGTTTGAGGCGATCATGAGCGGCAGGGGATAAGCATGGTGTGTTCAAAATTCAAATATCGGGAGAGTCTACGCCTTGGTTCCAGACGCACCCGCTTGCACGTTGTGCATGTAGATCCACTGGACACACAATTCCCACCCCAAGATACGATGGAAATACCCGATACAATAATTTCACCTCAGTGTTAGGCTATCACGACAAGTTTCAGTCAATCTGGGCTTCAAGAGGGGAAGTACGATTTATTCAAGTTCAATTAATCTCGGTGTTCTGCCAGTACGAGCCGAACATGACCTACGGCGCTTGGTACCGACACTGTGACAGAATACGGCCGCAGCATCTCAGAGGCCCGTATACAATCTACGTAGTTCAACAGGTTTCAGTCCGTGACGTTTTCAGGTGAATAAGCATGTCCGTGCAGAGAATCAGATCTTATGCATGACTGTCAAGAAGCAACGAACATCATAGACCACGAAAAGGCATGTGCTATTGGATAAAGGCTGACCATTGCCTACGTGCACAGTCATCGATGACTAGTCTAATGGTGTAACTTTATCGAATAAAAGATATGCTCAGAGCTCATTTGCACCCGGCTGGATCACATTTAATTTTTGGCTTCGTGAGTAGAGATCTCCGGGGACGGACCCCTCGCCAGACGCTGCCTGAATAGAACTTAATGGTGCTTGGGAAGTGACCAGTCGGGTGTTGAACCCGTGCGTGAATCCTTTTTCGCCAAATGTTAAACCATTAGACTAGTCATCGATGACTTGACAAATGGTTTAACAATTGGCGACAAAAGTTTCACGCACGGGTTCGAATCCCGGCTACTCACTTTCCCAAGCACCATTATGTTCTTTTCAGTCATCGCCTGGCGAGGGGTCCGTCCCCGGAGATCACTACACCCTATCAGATCCACTGGGATTGGCTACGAGCCGAGAGTGCATCTTTTATTGGATAAAGGCTGACCATTTGACTACGTGCACAGTCAGTGCTGACTAGTCAATGGTGTAACTTTATCGAATATGTGCCTACGTAAGCTGTATGTGCAACGTAACGTTGTTTCCATTTTTGTACACCCTGGTCAGGCACTTCGTGTATGGAAAAACTGCCAGCATAGGTCGAGCTTCTGCCAGATGAACCGTCGGAGACGTAGGCGGGGTTAACAGGCTTGTGGGGTGAACAGCCCAATAGCTCAACCGGGTACGCCACCGGCGGTGCCTCGGAACCAGGCTGGGAGCCCTACTAGACTACACCCGGAAGCGTCGGTACGCAGTCGATACTAACCCTTCGCCAGCTCACGGGAGGCACGCTAACCCCGCATCAACCAGTGGTCGATAACACCTGGGGAGACGTCACAAGTGAAGGTCCAACGAGCGGGAGCAGGAGAGAGGGCAACCTAACCACCTCGATGCGCACCCCCAACGCCGCGACAAAGTGCGACGCTGGAGATTCCGGAGCACGTGTCCGTCGGACGGGAGGAAAGACCCGGTCGGGTAGGAAACGGAGGAGGAGGAGGCCCTCTGATAGTGCTACGGGTGGGTGTCTACCCAGTCTTGAGGGCAAGCTCGCGGAGGAGGAATACTGCAGGCAGCAGAGCCAGGCGAGGAGGGAGGCAACGGCTCGCAGAGATCACGCCAATGCCGACGACGAACGACGAGAGTCAGAGGCCAGGGGGGAATCACCCCGTTGACACTCGGCGTAGGAGTCACGGCGGGAACCCAAGACAAGCCACTCATCAGCCAAGCAAGCGGAATGCGGGTAGGAGACTTTCTGCCCCGGCGGTGCCACCTGTAGGCCAACCAACAAAGAAGGAGCGAAGAAAGGCGTGCGATCGTCGGGAATGCGGATGAGTTACACACAACCCTGGCGCCGAGTGTAGCACATGCCCACACATTGTAGTGCACTCGGCCGACGAGAGACTATGTTCGGCATGCCACAGATCTCTGAATGACTAAGGTTTCACGCACCTCCGCGCGGACCGGTTAGGGCGAGCAGTAGCCTTCGTGGCCGCGTGGACGCAAGGAGAGAAAACCCTGCCTCTAGCTCTCGTGCGAAACTTTAGACCCAGCAAGGACTGCGTCTGCCAACGTCCAGACTGCTTCTTAGCCTTTTTCGCCAAGGAAGAAACGAAGGCAGAGTTTCGCCAATGCGGAAATTGTGGGTACCGAAAATCGGACAAGAGGCGCGTCAGGTGGTATTCCATGGATGCTGCAGGAGATCATGTCGCGGAGGGGAGTGCAGCAGTGAGTGACGGTGTTTGGTGGTGCGGCCGTTGCTATCAGAACCGGTTGAACGGCATGAAGAGAGACGACAAACAGCCAGAAAACCCTGCGAGCATTACATGTGGGTCGGGGGGCGAGGCGCCAACGCCTCTAGAGCCGGTTGGGCACGGTGCGCATGATGGTGGATGAAGTCCTCGGTCGAGGTGATATCCTTCACTGGCAGGATGTCGCCGATTGGCTAGCTGCTAAACGCGCGAAAGGTGGTATGCCCGAGATGAAAGGAAAATATGCTGACACCTTTTCCTGGACTTGTTCACCAGCATAGCCGCGGCGCCCGGGAGAAATTCACGAATTGTTCGAGTCCGTAGGGCCCTCGGGAGACGCACGCGAGCGGGAAATTTGCCTCTTCCCAAACTCAATTCGTGACGAGTATCTCGTTGACTTTATGCTGCGTGCTCGCCGTAACGCACCCGCACAGTCACCTTCCAACCAGCTAGCGGATATGGACGGGTCTCTGGGGTCGATCCTGCGGCAAGTCGAGCAGGACAAGGAGGACGCAGACGCAAAGATGTATGTTGTAAGATACACTCGTAGCAGTATCTGGTCGTGAGGATCTCAGGGGGACACGTGTTGGGAATTTCGTGTGTTGAAGGGTACCACAGGCGCAGTCACGGGGACCATTTGGGCGTGGTCGGTGCGATGATGAGGAAGGCTTGCGTGCGTGCTGCGCACTTCTTCTTCTACTTCTTCTTCCCTCTCTCTCCACCACCACCACCGTCTCTCTCCAATCAAGTTTCCTTCTCCCACTCTCTCTTCAACTCTCTCTTAACCTCTCTCTCTCGGCCTAACACGGCCGACTACCCAGTGCCCCAAAGCAACGTCCAGAACGTGCTTGCTGCACCCCGCGTAGTTTACCTTTCACACTAGTACAACGATATCACGGTATCTGCGCGCGGGCGTAGCCTTCCGGGGGTTGTGCAGTCACGCGCAATCGGTAGACTCCCACAACAACATAAACCATGGAGGGCATCGAACTCTCCGCCCTTAGCGGGGAAGAGCTGCAGCAAAAAGTGGAGGAGATCGTCCAGCAACGAGTACAAGCCGAACTTGAAGCCAACAGGATCAACGAGGGTGAAGTCACCTACGCCCAACCACCATCAGCCCTCAACCCAGTCCCACCTACCGGCAACCAGCCATCACCCTCCAGCCAGGGTGAAACAGCTACCTTCAACGACCCCAGCAGCGTCGCACACCTCGTGGCGCAAGCGGCCAAGGCTACAGCTGAGGCCATCGCTGAACAACAGGGCTTTGCCCTCTCAGGCACGTTACGTGTCAATCCTGGCTCAGAAATA